ATTTCTTTTTTATATAAGAGATGTTCTTCTGAAATGACTTTTTTTCCTTTTGTTTTTCTTTTATGACATTTATCTTATCTCTTTGCTGTTCTTAGTGTCGGAGTAATACAGTCTTATCCCATTCTCGAATTTTGTTTGAATAGAGGACAGTTTACTTTCTGTTAATCAGGAATTCATCGAGGCAAACATTTTAGATCAGACGATTCTGTAGACTTTTGTATTTTAACATCGTTCTATTGTACAATCCACTTAAGTTGAAAATGTCTTAGAATAAAGTTGAAAATTTTATATAATTTACCTTACAAGCTTGTAATTTTCTTGCTCTATGATACAGATTATCTTCCAAATACCTATGATACAGATCATTTTCTTAATTTTTGCAAAATTACTGATATTTCCTGATTAAGAGGAATGTCATGAATGATGGACCCTTTTTTTATATCTAGCGTAGTCTTATTTTTCCTAAAGTCATTCATTACACCGAATGTAATAGTCTTTGTTGAAGCCAATTCGAGGAACGAATGGCGATTGTCGGAAGCGACGTGTTAGAGGAAAGGTCGCATCTCTCGTGGCGTCGAGTGACAAACACGTAACACGCGAAACCTTCTTCAGCACTTCCTCTCAGGTACGTTCCTCGGACTCTCTCTTTCCCATTTGTCTCGTTTATCGTCCTTCTAACTCGCCCGCAATTCTTCTACGTGTCTACCGCAGTTTGTGCCATGCCGCGTTTACACAAGTCAGCGGGAAGTCGAGTGGCTTTTTAGATATAATAGATGGCAATAGAAAGATGTAAGCGAGTCGGTCACTTTAAACAACTCTTGGTCTATCAGCTTTGCGGCAGAATGGAAAGGACGATGTGTATCGAATTCTGTTTTCAACAATAATTTTCACATAAATTTTTTCTAAAAACCCAATACGTCAAGAATTTATCGACTAAAGTGTTTGAAGTTCTTTCGGATACTGAGAATTTTAATTTTCCCGCCGAATTCTTTGAATAATTTACTTGGATATTATTTAATATCTATTTTTCAGTGACGATGCTTGTAATAATTTAAAGTATTTCATAAATTGTCAATCAGCTAGCAAAATTTTATGCTTTGCTTAATTTCATGAGAATTTTAATATCTAGAAATTTTGTTTCAGATGTAAATCAGAGTTATTTTTAATTTGAATGATTTCAAATTAATCAAAAAGGGGAAAGATCACATACATATAAATTTACAGAAATATTTATTAACATTTTATGTGTAAAAATCGAACTAATCTAATAAAATCCTCTAAAGTATTTCTGTCCAAACGTTGATCTAATCTACTGATTTTATATCTTTGTATTCTCAATCGATTGCATCCGTATGTAATCTATCATATTGTAAAAATCACAGCGTTTTTCGGCAATACGATATAAATCGGACCCTGACCTTCTTGGTGAACTCTCCTCCCTTTTTCCAAAGTGGCGATGAGACGACGATGCCGATGGTGAGATATGAGACAGCCGTCAGGGTTTTTTTCTGAATTTCCTTCGGCAAAGTAGTGATAAAATGATATAATAATATACAACCCGTAATTTTCTTTCCGCACCTTCGGAGATGTCGTTGATTTATTCCGCACGTTTATTGATTTGCCGCATTTTTTTTCGTAATGTGCTTCGGGCGATCGATTGATGGATCGTTTCGCCTAAGAGTATTCAGTTAAAAAAGTGACATTCTTCATCTACATATCTTTTTGCGTTCTCTGTGCGAAATAATATCTAGTAGTACAAGTTAAATTCGATGTGGGATTGTTTTCGTTAGATTTTCCAAGAAAATTACGAAAGCGATGCTTATATTAAAAATTGTTACGATTATATTCCTCTTGAAAAACTTCATAGTTGAAAAGAATATCTAATAAAAATAAATAATGGAATATATTCTAGATGATTTGTGTATGACAGATTTAGTATATTATAAATTAAATGTGTGTACTTTAGTAAACGATTAGCTATTATTAGAGAGATCAATTATTATTAGATTTTCTAAACTTCTGAAAAATTAAGCAATTAAGAATTATTATTAAAATAAAAAATTTGATGTTTTATAGTCTATTCAAGTTGTGATTATTGATGAGATTTCATGTTGAACATTGAAAAGTTATATAATAACGTAAATAATAAAATGCTTCCCTCAACTCTTTTTGAGATACGAATTTCAATTCCATCGAAAAATCCGTTATTGAAGCTGAAATAAAACAAAGTCAATAGTTCTGGAAAACCTTGCCCTCGATTTATATTGACTGTATGACAATATAATTAAACATTACGCCCGTAAAAGCTTACATTATTGCATTGTTTACGAGCCGCATTGATATTCGCAGTTATCCGCCAATGTTACCGCAAGATGTTTATCCGAACCGCAAAGCTGTGGCCACAAATATTTCAATTTGTTACATCAGTGGCCGCAACGGAAAAGTGCTGCCGTCTAAATATTTGCCGAGCACTTCGGCAAAGGTTACGTGGGCCTCGCGATTATTTGTTTCTTCATGCTCGTGGGAAGCCGCGGAGCGTAGCACGCATCTGCATGCTCACGAGAGAAGTCTCTTTCTCATCGTGTGAATCGACACAATGCACGTGTGTCTGACGCGAATATCGAAAGTATTAAATACAAAAATTGTTAAATTTCATTAATTTTTATTTAAATTTTTAAAAATAAAAATAATTGGTATTAATAGTTATTAAATCAAAAGAGAGATTCAAACATATTTACGAATGTGCAACTTTTAATAATGGACACAGAATCTATTTCATATGTACACGGGAAAAATTTACTATTTCTAATTAAAATTACTTTGTCTTGAAGAAACAATTTATTAAAATAATTCGTAATAAACATTTAAGATATATTCAAGATAAAAATTTTTTGTTATTATTACATGTTTCTTATAAATGAAAAAATATATTTTTATATGAAATTTGTATTTCATAAAAGCATATAAAAATGAAATAAAAGCAAAGAATAGAAATTCTTAAAGTAACTAGTTACCGTTACTCGTTACCGAATCAAAATAGTAACTAGTTCCCCCCCTCCCCGTTACTAGTTACTGATACTCAAAAATAACTCGTTATTGTTACCGTTACATTAAAAACATATCAACATTGTTAACATTAAAAAAGTCAATTTGCTACTCTTCCGTTACCTTCTTAATGAAATAAGATTAGTCTAATAAAATTTTTTTGTTTACGTTTTAATAAAATTAATCATATCAATAGACAAAAATGACTTGAAGAAGAAATGACATGAAGATTTTTTACTGACAAATAAAAAAAAAATTGAAATTGTATTTTTGCTCCAATAAAACATTTTCTTCATTGATACTGTATTAAAGATAATATTTCATTGATACAAAAAAAAACATTTGTTGGAAATAATCAGTCTTTTCAATTTTGAAATTATAATTCAGAAAAAATGTGTTTAGTTAAAACAATTAAGCAATTCTTTTTCTGTGTATATTTTAATAGACATGTGTGAAAACATAAAATTTAATTCAACATTCTATTAAACAGTACAATCTGCTGCAATCACAGAGATGGATTTCAAACAGAATTTATTGATTTTATATATTCTGAGATAGTTTTACTATAATCGTTTATAATAAAAGAGTCAACAGGAGTTGTTCTGCTCGTATAACAATGCTATAATCGTTCGATAAGTTGCATGTCTCTTATTGTCATGGCGGATATCGAACAGCGTGTGCGAACAGCCTCTGGGATCTGAAAAATTCTTACGATCCTTTCCATTCTACACGGGGCAAGCACTTTGCATAACATTACACAGAGAACGCTCTCGTAAGAAAATTATCGCGAACAAAGCGCGTGGCTGTTATTGGTCCCGCCGAGTTAAACACATACCCTCCCGTCTCATACATTCTTCCCATTAATTAGCCTCGAAAAAGCGGAATCGTGGCGCCAGCTAGTGAATCACTCAAACTATACGTTACGCTGTTCGACTTCGCCTATTTCAATAATATGCCGCAGGCGGTGGAATAAAATTATCGCCGCAGCGCCGGCGCGTGTATAAACGCACTTACGTAAACCGCGCGCCTGTCCGACTTGGCGTGTCCGTGCATAAGTAATATGCGTGTATTGCACCTGCGTAGCTTATCGGTATATGCACACGCAATGGCGCCAAGATACGCCCAATACGCACAGTAATATTCCTGCAAATCTCATTAAAAATGTTGAAGCGATCAATCGTGTCGGCGAATCTTGAGAACACAGAATCCAAATTCTGTTTTCTGTGTTCGAAAAATTTTGTCTTCTCTTTTTTACAAAAAAGAATTAATTAAGAATTAATTCTTAATTATGTTAAGAAATTACGTATGAAACGGATTGAAGAAATATATTTTAACGATAAGTTATTTATCATAATATACGTTATCATCTTACAAGAATCGAATTCTGATGAAAAATTTAATTTTACGTTCTATAATGGCTTTTTCTTTTCTCTCTGTTTTTATTGTTTGTTGTAATAAGCGTTTGAGAAAATACGTTTGAAAAGGAGGAATACTATTTTTTTCGCGATCCCGTTCGGAGATCATTTTATGTCTACATTTTCTTACGTATTTTTTTTCATTTAAACTGTAAATTATCATAATAATGACACTACACTCAAGGAAAAATTAGTACGTACATTAAAGTTAATAAAATCCTTAGTCACAGCATTGCGAAATCGCTGTCAGTTATGCTTCAATCATTTAAAATCTAATTTAAAGTTAGATCAACAACTCTGAATTAGTTTTTAAACGATTGAAGCATAAATGATAGCGATTTCGTAACGGTGTGAATAAGAATTTTATTCTTTATTTCAATGTACCAATTTTTCTTTGAATGCAGCGTCATTATTATTATAATTTTCGATTTCCATGAAGAAAAATAAATTAGAAAACGTAAAAATAAAATGGTCACAAAAAAGCGAAAGTTATACACTTCTATGTAAAAGAAATTTCTATATCGGAAAACGCAATGACTTTTAAGAAGAAGCGTGATTGCCTGCAGCTTCCAACTGTTCGTTCTCGACTATGTCAGCTTCTCGGCAGCTATCAAGACGTTCAATCGCGTGTACCAAACGTTTCTTCAACTTGGCGAATTCTTTGGCGGACGTCATTTTGGTTAACGTCGCGGACTTGGTGTCCAGATGACTCATCGATTTTCTCGAAGTGGATCGTAGAAAAGCGCTCAGGCTGACGTCAGCGATTTCTTCCCAGTCCTGAGAAACCGATCGAACAAATTATCGAAAAAAGAAATAAAAAAAAAACAGCACCGGCATTGCGATTACATTGTAAACAATATTTCCTTATAAATGACAGCACAAACTGGTCAATCTAGGTTTTTGGATTTTTCCAAATGATTAACTCGAAATTATATTTTAGTAGTCGGACATATTTTAGCCACTTATTGTTAGAGCGAAGAGATTGAATTACATATGTGTCGCCATAAATACTTACGAGCTCGTCGCACAGCTGCGGATCAAATCCGATCGCGGCTTCGAGCATCGCGTACTTATCGTCGTTTACATTGAGTCGCAACAGCAGGAGCAGTAACCTCACGATGCACCGCAGACCGTGGCCGGCGCGTTCCCGTTCCTGCAACAGCCCAATTATTACTGCGTTACATCACGCCGCATTGACGGACTGCACGCCGCCAATCTGTCCGGATAATGCGAATCGAGATTTAGGTCAGGAATTGAAACCGGTATAGTTTTGACGAGGTCAGGCGCTCCTCTTTAATTTTTTTCCTTTTACACTTATTAACCGTTTATATATTTTCTATATTGAAGAAGTCGAAACTATCATGTAACGATTTTAATTGATTGTAGAATCAGATTGTAGAATAGATCGTTAATAGTCCTTATTGTTAGAATATTTTTCGAGAGGAGGTCGGTTTTAGTACGCGCGAAAGTATAAATACACGCTCGTTAACTTACTTCATTTACGTCAACATATTCCCGCAATAGTGGATAGAGATTACTCTCGTATTCGTTATTTTCTTCGGGATTAACAAATTATTAATTTTGATTTAATTCCCCGATCATTTTTTGCAGCATATCAGCTGTCACGGATTAACTTGAAGGCTCCTTATAAGAATCCAAATATACATACAAAGAAAACGGAAAGAAAAGTTCAATGATTTTGAAGATTACGAAGTTACAAAGTAAATTCATATCGATAATTTTATGTTCGCTTGCACTGAAAAAAAAGTACTAAATTTTAATAAATATTTATTTGGATAGTAAATATTTACTAATTATTTGATACAAAGATCATTAATTTAATTTAACTGTCATTTTTTATTGAGTAAATTTTTATTTACTGTAAGTAAATGTTTACTTACAATTAGTACTATTCAAAGAAATACGTATTAAAATTTTTTTTTTAATTTTGTTTTATGCCACCGAAACGATCTTTTCCGCGTCGTTGTCTCTTTCTCTTTATTATCTATCTAAACATGGCTCTCCCGCGTATCGTGCGGATCGGCGTTTACATCGAATTCCCTTTCCTGGAATGCTATAAATCTCGCAAATAATAAGCCACTCGAGCGCGACGAGAGGGATCGAGTAACGATCACGAGCACGTTGATATAATTTCGCGAAACCGCCATTGCATCGGCGCGATTGCCATCTCCGCTTCCAGATCGGCGCGCGATAAAACGTGGCATACTGTATCGACCGCGATCGGCCGTCAAGTGGTTCGCGTGTTTTATACTGCCGAGATTATGGTCGCCGCTCGCCATCGCTGTCAGCGTTGGGTGAATAAGCGAAGGCAACTACAGCGGACAATTACAACGTGCGCGACTTGCGAGCATTATCAAGCAGGTTCCGAGACTACCTTCGGTTGTAGTATTGGTTGAGAGTGTATTTGTTACAATTTTCTGACGAGAATGCATAGAAATCATGACTAGAAATTCTTTCCATTAATTACAAGTACAGTCCCTGGCTACATTATTATGACCACCACTTATCTTTTTGCACTCTTTTCTATTTGGTTACATTTTAAATATTATGATGAATTTATTGAATAATTTTATGTCTAATCAATTAATTACAACTTGACAATGTTAAATCAATTATATTTTATTATAAAATACAGCAAACAAAACATGCAAAATAAATATAAATTGTTGTTAGACATGTTAATAAAGCATAAATAAATAAGTTAAACATAAGTTATTATTTAACTTATGTTTAACTTATTTATTTATGCTTTATTAACATATCTAACAACAATTTATATTTATTACTTACCGTTATATTTTATTAATATTAACAATTTACGTCACGAGACAAAGTGTTCTAAATAGAAGTTATATGTAACTTCGGCGTGGTTAAACAGTTGACACATGTCAAAATGGCGATCTATGTTAGAGTTGCATACACAGTAATTTAAAAAACAGTATTGCCATGAAATACAAATCTTTCTACCACTTATCATAAAAATATCGTAAAATTCAACAGTGGTCATAATAATGTGGCCAGGAACTGTATATAATAGAATAAAAGTTTTTATATTAACTTCCATTCAGAAAACAATTTAAACCAATTAAAAGTCAAATTTCGTACCATTTTTAACGACACGAATTCTTATTGTTTTATTATAAAAAATACTAAAATAGTGCAAGATTTAGTCTTTTTAATGTAACAAATAGATTACAGTTGACACTAACTGCAGCGTAGGTAGAAATGAATGAAAGCGTGCTTGTAAAAATTAAAAGGAGTCAAACTGTTTCAACGATTTTACGATAAGTCTTACCAAATCAGGTTTACGTTGAACGTACTTTAATTCAACGTACATCTGATTAAAGGCTAAGATAGATCTCAGAACGAGTTCGCTGTAAAGAGAAAAGGATAAGGATGTAGGAGGGTTGGACATCGGTCAATTACCGCTCGTGCGATCGCGAGATCGTCCAGAAGCGCGAAGATCGCGCGATAGGTCGACTCCAAGAGGAACGGCAGTCCGGTCGTGGTCAGAGACCGGGTATTTCGCTCCCTCACGGCACGTAGCATCCTCCTCTCGATGTTTCTCAACTGGGTCGACAGTAGCCCGATCTCACTCTGTACTTACGAACAAAAAAATATGCTGAGGAAGAGAGAAACGGGTGTAATTAATCTACAGTAACGACGATGTTAATGAAATGGACGCCGCCAATGTCGTCAGCATCGTCAATTGACTGCGAGAAAAACTGATCTCAAATCTTATGGGAACGACAAAATTATAAACTTTTAAGGAAAAAAGAGAGGGGGAGAGAGAGAGAGAGAGCCTTTATTACGGTTCTAGGGCAAGCCCTTTAAGAACCTAGTATACATAAGTAATATGAGTATAAATACATTAAAGTAAATGCGGTGAATATAATGAAAAAAAAAAAAGAAAAATAAGACTGAATAAATAAATAAAAATAATAATAATAAAATTTTGAGTAAAATAAAAGTTAATTACAGAAAAATTAAAAGAAAGTGTTGCAAAATTTATGGATTTATAATAAGGGAGAAAGAGAGAGAGAAGGAGAGAGCTAAGTAGAGATAAGAAAAATAAAAATTCTAAGAATTTTCATACATTCTGTAAAATACTGTATAAGCCTTTATAGAGAGATGTCTAGCTTATCAAAAAAACACCCTCCAATTTTTTTATAAGACGGAAGTCAAAATTAAAATTGAAGCTTTAATAAAAAGACGAGAGAAGGACAAGTGTTTAGCAATTTAAAGTCTCATTTAAATAAATTACCGCGATTTTGTCCACTTTCTGGCGACTATGATAGTGCGCCTCCATCTGAGACTGTACCAGTTGTATGTGATTTTGCGCGATGGCGGTCGTAAAATTTCCGGTGGCCTTGTCTTTGAGTCTATTCACCAGCTGCTGTACCACCAAGGCCATCGAAAGTCCGTCGTTTGATTGCACTCGATATCGATTGCTGGTAGCGCCGGAAACGATTGTCACCACACTGCCAGTTTGCAAGTGCTGCAAACCAAGTGCGTTCCAATTTTGCCTCTGTACATCTCCTGTAAACTCTGCGAAGAATTATCGTGAATTAAAATTGTTCGCAAACTTTTCACATAATTTCTGGAGAAAACAAATAAGAAATTAAATAAGAAAATTCAATTATTCAGTTAAATTCAGATGACCTTTACACTGTGTGTGTGAGAGAGAAAACTATACTAAATTTTAAATATTTGTTTGAATAATGCCAGCATGAATATTTATTAAATGTATAAAAAACATATATTTATTTGGTACAAGAACCATTAATTTGATTTAACTGTTATTATTTTTTATTTAACAAACATTTATTTTCTGTAAATAAATATTAGTATTATTCAAACAATTATTTATTAAAACTTAATATATTTTTTTCTCAGTGAGATTTTTCATTATCAGTATCTTTATTTAGCATTTGACGACCGAAATAATTAATGTTTAATTTCAACAATATGCAATAAATGTTAATATTTCTTGAAATTATTTAAAAAATAGCTTAAATTTATTAAAACATTTTTTATGAAATATAGAAATTACAGTTGAAAATTCTAGGATATCCTTTGTATTTCATGTGAGATTTGAAACAAGATATTGATATTTTTATGATTGATATTTTTTATTCTGAGCGGTTTCATGGGAGGGAAGGAATTCACTTAACGAGAATTTTACCGACTTTAAATTACGAATCTACCAGGTGTGCGAGGCTTAAAGTCGAGAGGCCGATAAAAGGAAGAAAATGTGCCGTGATTGAAGAGGTCCGGGTAAGGTCCCTGAGGCCCGCGATGTCTGATTATCGTATTAGGTGGGCCGAGATGCCGCATGTTTAAACCACGAACGAGAGAGACTGGATTCCTTAATATCGCCGTTCGCAAACGAGACATCCTAATTCTCTATCCACAATTTCCTAGCCCGTAATTTCCGATGAGGAACAACGGGGGGAAATACGAGGTAGAGGAAATAAAAAAGATCCGTGAGATTTTGGGGAATCCTTTACGATGATGGGACCAGCAGGGCGGCAACACAAAGCTGCCGTCTATAAGGTCACATATGAAAACAACCAATTTCTCCATGACTCATAGATCGATGACATTCGTAAGAATTTTACATTATATTTAGATATCGGTTGCATTTCTTTATCGAATTGATGATATAATTGCGATAGTATCATATAACTTATACATATATCTATTTCATTAAAGATGATACGTATTGTCACTTTGTGACACACACACGAAGTTTTAAGAATATATATAATTTTATCGATTACGTCACACTATTTCTCTATGATAAATATGAAGATATAAACTTAAATCCTCAGAGAGAACTATTTGAATCTCAATATAATGCAATGTTTGTAGTATGCAATTTTTTTAAGTTAAAATTTTAATTAAATGAATCTAATAAGGACTCTCGGGGAGTTTGTAATGATGTTGTCGTATAAAACCACAGAAAAATTTGTCGACGATAGATTCGAGGGAATAGTTTTATCGCGGTTGCAGCCCTGGTCACGAAAGGCGAGAGAGGTAATGAGTATTATAAACGACGGTGCCGATGGATTTACCGGGAAACAGCTGGCTAAAAGCCACGAGGGGCTCGCTGCACTTGATGGTCGCCGTGAAGGTGGACGTGTTCTCGGGTGGGCAGGCCCTCAGCATCATCTTCAGGGGTAGCTGGACCGTCTTCTGAAGTACGCGTAGGCTCCCACGATCCGCTGTCTCGTAGCTCGCCGTGATTCTCACGTCCGATGACATCGCCGGTAAATCCATCGTTGGGTAAATCATTACACGCAGAATGTGCCTGTCACCTATGCATTCGCATGATCAATTAGCGAAGTGACATACTTAACGAATTAGTCGCTATTATTGACATTCTATAGCGAATTTTGATTATAAGAAGTAGAAAAAAGTAAATATCATTGCGTGAAGGATGTATCTTTTTCCAACAGCGTCATTCTTCATTTTTCGTGTTTTAATTTTATTCTGAAACTGCTATTTTCTTGTTCGAGTCTTTGCGTCATAAATATGTAACTTTACGTGACTTGCTTACAAAGGTTGGTAATAACGTAGCGATCCTTGTCGGCGACGAACGGCTTCGAGACGTCCACGCATACTTGAACATCGCGAAGCGTCATGTACGTGGACAATTCTATGGTGATCCTGCACATTAAATTACGACCCTCCGAGTCGTCCTTACTGTCATCCTGGTTTCCGCGTGGACAGGGTTCCAGATCCGCAGATACGGTCACGGATATTATCAGCTCAGCGTCCATGGTGACGTCATTGAGTTGATTGCCTTATAATTTCGATTATAAGATAATTAATGTCTGTGATAAAAACCAATATTCATAATCGGTTCTTATTTTAAGACTATCTTAAGTAATGTTTTAAGATTAACAACCTTCTGATTGGATTCGTGACATCTTAAGACTGTATTAAATACGAAAATCGATTATGAATACTGCTAAAAGCTAAATTTTAACTACACTCAGAGAAAAAAGTCGTATCAGTAACTATAAATTTGTAGTGAAATAGCGCCTCAACTATATATATATTATTAAATTCTAATAAGAATACTAGATTAAGTGAACTAAGAAAATATAACATTAATTATATAATCAATTACAAATGGTTAATATTACTATATTTTCTTAATTCACTTAATTTACTTATTGTTCTTATTAAAGCTTTATAATACATAATTACAAATTTGTGTATGCATTTCTTATTTATTTTTGTCTTCCAAGTTTGAAACCAACGCTGCGCCTTTTATCGTAAGCTGAGTGGTTTCCTTCTTAGGAGAAACTGAACTTCGCTATGTCCCTCTGGTGACAAAGCCGCGTACTACTCGTACTGAGCGACACTTTAAAAATTTTTGTCTAAACTAGAAAAATGTAATTGTTATATCTATTTGCATGAAGTTCAAGTAACTACTCAATGTAGTCACTATTTCACTACCAATTAATAGTGCATACAATTTGTTACCGTGACTATATTTTTATAATATTCAGCACTACTTTAGTTTCTATTACTTTGTAAAACTAGTTACAGGTACTTCAATTGCAAAAGTTGCTAAATTTATAGTTACTAGAACTATTTCGTTTTCTCTCAGTGTACAAAATAGGTAATTTGGACTTCGGAGAAATTCTTGATAAAGGACTTATTCTTTGTATTGCTAATGATTGTTTTAGGTATATTGATGATTCATATTTTCTTCATACCGGAAGCTTTATTTTTCTTCGCTAATTTGCGCAGCTCCATGAGCTCATCTTCGGCGGCCACGTAATCGTAACCGCGTCGATGCAGAGGAGGCGCGATAAATAACGATGGTTCCGAGCCCAAGTAGCAAGCCTCCAGCTGGCCCTCTTCGGAGAGAACGACGATCACTCCATCTAAGTGCTAAAAAAAGAAATATTAAGCTTTAGATTACAGTTGCATTGCAAAAGGAAAAATCAACCCCAAATTGGTCAAAGAAACTGTAGATAAAAAGAACTGCGGGAAACCTGGAATGGCCCGTACATCATAGTTATTATCCCGTGGATGTGCAAAAGCAATATGAAAGCTAAATTAAAGACCTGCTCGTAAAAGTGATCTGACCTTTAAAATTAAAAATTAAAGTAATCCGAGTACGGTGGTATACTTTTGATCTTTCCATCAATTTTATTACTAATTATAAACTTCATTTCTCTTCATTTTAAAGAAAAGTGCATTAGATCGTTTTTTTTTGCGTGTAAAACACAAAGTTCGAACACTTCTGGCAGATTCTTTTCATAACGGCAAGCTGAAAGGCTATTTCTGCTTTTGTTATTACGCGAGATAAGATAAAAATAATCATTCGTTGCTATTTTCATACTGGCGTCCGGCTGATTTAGGCGTTTTCTAAGCGTTTTCTCGCGTCGACGCGGAACAGCTCCAGTTGCCGCGATGATAGTTCGCTGATTAACGAATCGGAGTTCTCGGTATTAAGCTAATTAGCCAGCAATTCGCGCGCTCTGTGTCCTCCGGAAAGACAACAATGGTAACCTTGCTGGCCGCGTGCTAGCTGTGGCAGGACGATAAGATAAAACCAGGGTGATAATTGCCGACTCCTCGTCCTTCTCTGCACTCTTGCGGTTTTTTCCTTTCCCGGTCTTTCATTGGCGACGCCGATGCTAAAAGCCTTGAAGGTTTCTTTGTCGTCATTGCCACGTGAGATCTTCGCTTTTATCTTCACTTCTTTTTTTCTTGCCCGTCTTGTCCCTCTTCCGTTTCAAAAATTCTTAAATGAGAACAATCCATAAGATGGTCAAACGTGTTCTCGAGCAATTTGATTATCGTTTTAAGTCGACATTTGACGCGGTCTTCACAAACAGATAAAAGACAGCACAAAACATAACTATAATTAACTTTGAGTTATCTATATTGAAAGACACAGATAATCTGATTTCTGCAAAAATTTTAGTGAAAAATTTGCTTTCATATATTTGTATAATTGTATGTACATTATTAAATTTCATCGAGATACATTTTGCTTTATAACGTCTAGAGAATTTTGGAAGAAAATAAAATGTATAAGTTTCATAAGATTTGTTGTTATAGAAGCTCAAGATTGTTGTACTCTTCGTTAACTTCTTTAAAATGTGGAATAGTAGAAGTTACATCAAAGAGGCTTCTGATAACAAGGACACGATAGATCCGTGCCTGACATAACGTTGTCAGAGAAACAACGGCTGGCGGTGCCGATAGTGCGACACGGAAGAGGATACACCGATATGGCGGAGGTCTCGGCTCGCTTCTTTGTCAAATGTCATCGGCTTTGATTGCGGACTATCGTGGTGAATGTATGTAGATATGCGCTCCATCGAGGTCTTCTTTCTTTCTTTCTGTCTCGTTCCCTCTTCTAAAAGGAATTCTCCCATATTTTCTATATGTCACTATCCAATATCCGGATAAGACAACCTTTCGAAAACCGATTATTTTTTTTCTCGGTCCTTTTTCATTGGTAAAGTTGCCTTGTCAGGTACAATATATCGACCATTTATTACGTTGCTATACCATTTCAATGCCACTAGTAGAAATGAAATGTAGTAATATAAAAAGACTGAATAGATCAATAGATTATCAACATGATCTTTGCTACGAACTTATAATCGAAGTTCCCTTTTTTAAAAAAAGTATATCGATTTTGTTATGTGTATAATATTGTTGCTTACTGCAAAATTATTAATAATAAAAAAATTATTTATCCATCGTGAATATAATGTACATGAAGAAAAGTGTGTAAGAAATTTGTAATATAATATTAAATAATTTTAATGTTATATTACAAATTAATTAAACTTTTAGTGTAACAATTATTGACCGTAATACTTAATAACAATAGGAAACTGTTACGATATTAAACTTTGCTACTTCAAATGATCAAGAAAAATTATTGATTCCTTTTAAACTTTCTTTTTCAAATGGCGCTTTGTGCGATATAATATTTTGAGATGCCGCATCGAGCAAAAGTACGAATTATGCAATTGATTACCTGAAAATGCGCTCGAGTAACAGCAACTGGAGTAAAAGGTAACTGAGCTGACCACCTAAGAGTCGTGCCCTCGTAAATCATCAGGGTGTTCGTGTCAGCGATTACAAGCACCATCAGCTTGCCATCCGGTTCTATAAGCATCGCACTCAATTAGCACATTTATTTTCTATTCGTTAAAATAATTAATTAAGCGTGTTGCATCGCGCGTCAACTATATTAATCCAACCACACGGTTTTCTCTAATTTGTTCATCTTATCCTTGTTTTTTTCTCTCTTCGAGAAAAAATATTTTGATGAGATCAAAATTTAATATGCTTTTTCCTTTTTCTTTTTTTTTTTCTCGTCAAGTTCCTAAGTCCGTCGTCAATTACCTATTACGTAAGGTTGAAAACAGAGTGCCTTGTACTCGAGCCTTTTTGAGTATTTCAGAGTGACGCAATTGTCTTTCAGACAATATAGACTTTTCTCGCCGAGTATGAGAATCCCGACCTCGAAGCTGCTCAAAATAACGGCATCGATATCGAGAACAGCTTCCCCGATATTGTAACTCCAGTCCGGTTCTAGATTCTTTGATTCTTCCGAGCGATCCTTACTGCCAAATTCCGCCATACTCTTATACCTGCGCGAAAAATACACATATCTACGTATGTAAAATTTCATTTTATTTACTAATGTAAATTATACATATAAATTACGCGTCAAATTTTGGAAATATGAGAAAATATAAACTTCTGAAATATTTTTTTCTTTTGCATTACTGCTTTTATCGTCACAACTTTGTTAGAATATGAATCGAATTATTAATTAATAATTTTGATAATTATTCGCAAGTAATTAGGAATTATACTGAAGAATGTGATACATTATATTTGTCTTATTACAAGTTCTAGAGTGATGTTTAAATCCTTTGATAATAAAAAGCTTTTCTTCCATTACTGTTGCGAATCTAATGACAGTGAACTATATATCTTTCCATTCGTCCTCTCAGCTCATAATCCTGAAAGACGAGGCTGTAATCCGATATATCGCGGCCGTGTTATCTGCACACCGGCAGGTGTTCATTGACGGGCTACTTGGAATGGCACAGTGGAACAACCTGCCTGTAGCATTCGAGGATCCACGAGGAGCTTGGCGTTACGAAGATGTCGTTCCGCGAAACGTAGACGATCGGCTCTGGCAGCAACCGATTCCTGAGAACCAGGCTGAAGGTGGGAGTCTCTTGCTCGTAAAAGAGAAGCGTGCCATCCAGGCACTGAACGCAGAGGAAGTCCCTACCCCGCACGCCGCCAAACGGACCCGTCGTCAGGGACGCCGGAAATCGCGGTAATAAATGCTCGTAAACAATTTCCAAATCGCAATGGTCCCCTGCAAGAGTAATAAGAAATAATGATTAAATTAAATCAGTTTAGATGAAAACTTAAAATTGGTAATCAACACACAAACAATATTGAAATTAGAAAAACTAAAATTTTTGAATTTTTCGAGTTAGTAAGTTTATCTTATTATTTTAATTTAATCGAAAAGAATTGATGCATGAATTACCAAATTTTTGTAATCGGATATTGTAATGGGATATTTAGGCCAAGTTCTACCAATATAAAATTTCAACTTTAATCTCGGTTTAATTTTAGGAATTAGAAAAAATAAATTAGAATTAGAGAAAGATAAATAGTAAATTAAACCTTGAGTTAATGTTAATTTTACATTAATGGAATTGAGTCTTAATAATTCGTGATAAATTATTTTTCATATTCATTATTTTTCACTATATTTATAATTTCTTATCCATTTCAAAATTTTAATAACAAATTTATTAAGTTTCAGTCTCTACTTTGACGTGCCTTGATTAACATGCGGTTTATTTTATCTTGATTTATTTTATATTTTACAACACAGAGAGAAAAATGTTTGGTATTTGTAACTATAATTATATATTACTATAATTATGATTATTACTACTATAATAATAATAACAGTAACTATATATATAGTTCCAGCAACGAATGTTATAATTGGC